TTAAATAAATTCCTATGCTTTCTGTCTCTGCCTTCAGAGATGGGCCAGTTTGTCATGCACTGTTCTGCTCAGAGACAGTTTTCCTTTCAGAGGATGAGCAAAGTGGTATGAAATATGTGAACAGCTAGAGAAAGACATCTAGGGATAGAGTGTGAGAAAGCCAAGCGACTCTTAGAAAGGTCAACAAAATTATTATCTCCTTGGTTGTTTAAAATTCAATCTTTGGAGAAGTGCTTGGTGTTTCTGTGCACCTTTGGTATGTGAGGCTTAACTCTATGAGTACCCGTTACTTATAGGATTTACAACCCTTCTATGAGATGGAAGGATTTTATAGGTGAGAAGCAGAGGCAGAGAGACTGCAGGCAACAAATCAGTGACAGAATCAAGAAAAGAACTAAGGAACCTGTCTCCTGCACTTCCTTGGCGTTTTATTTATTTGGTTTTTTCCCTATATGGCAAAAAACGGATGTTTTAAGTCACTGCGCCTCAGAAAGCACCTGATTCTCTCAACTGTACGTAAAAATGCTAATTCAGAACAAATAACCCACCTCAGTTCATAATCCCCTCTTTTTATTTAAATCTTAGATATCCCCATTCTGTTTCCAGTTAAGCAAATTGTCCCAGTTATGGTAGAACAATGAATGTGTTCTCAGACAAATACTTCAAAACTTATTTAAAAAAACCCACCAACTTAGCCATAGCTATGATGAATTTTTTTCTTTCACTGTTTGATCCTGGAGATTCTCCCTGTACGTCACGGCTTAAGGAGGCAGGTAATTTGCTGTTGCCCAGGAAGTACTCTGCAGGCCATCAATGCTGTCTGTCTACTGCTGTGATGACTTTGGGCTTCCTCCTCCTTTTTTACTCCCTCCAGGAAAAAATACATTTACCAATTTCCTTGATGACTTACGGTGATTCAGCATCTCCAATTTTAAAATCAGTTAAATATCACTTGTTTGATAGCAAACCACAATATCTCTCCACATCTTTGAGGTCAGGTGAAGGCATCCTAAATTCTAGGCACTGCCACTAGCTCACGGGGGAAAATCGCTGAGATCCAGACTGTTATTCCTGTTCATGGGCACTGAGGAGAGCAGCTATTCACAGCAGCCTTGAAAATCACGGTATGGAGCCCTGGTTCACTAAGGTCCATGGGATTCCTGCATTCAGGCCAAGAGTTTACCCACAGAGGGTAGGTGGCCAAATAAAGGTCTTTGCACCTCCACCCTGAAACTCATTTCCATAGAGTATGTCCATCCTTGGGATGATGCTGGCTGGCATTTGGAGCCAGATGATCTTTAAGGTCTCTTCCAAGCCCAACTGCTCTATGATTCCATGATTTCTACACTTCTGGTTTTGGGGCAGCGGTGAAGTGGTGGAGCTCCACAGGGACCACCAGCCTGCAGCAGCGCTGGTGGGCTGGGGGCTGCTGCCAGGCTGCGAGCTCTCCCCAAGCCAAGCTGCCCACTTCCTGCCAAGTGTTTCTGAAATGGTACATAGGAATGCTTGTTTTCGTGCTGCTTCTATGAACCTCTTCATAGAGCCAAACTGAAACACAGCACGAGTTTCCAGTTCTGCATTAAATCCACGGCGGACGTGTTGCTTGTGTTTGTGGAGCGCTTTTAGGCTGTGGCTTAAGCAGTGCCCTAACCAGGTCAAGTGTTTTTAGGTCTTCTAGCACCACACTAAATTTGTTTATTAATTTGCAAGCACTGTTCTATTTAAAAACATATAAACATTAATGAATTTTGGTGAAATCTGTGTGGTAACCCAACGCCCTTTCTCCGTACATATTTAATGAGCTAAAGAAGACTAAGTTTAATGTTGAATTCATATATTTAACGTTTTGGAAAACAATTCTATGTATTTTCTTAAATATGCAGTTCCAGCCTGCTTCTACACAGAGCTCTTTCATTGGACCTTCTAATTCTGTTGCGCATGGGGGATAGTTGTGTGACTTATAAAGAAAGATAGAAAGTGGAAACTCATGTGCATTGATAATGCCAGGTAACCACTTAGCGTGAGGGATTAAGTGCTCTAAAAAAAAACACCACCAAAAAAAACAAAAAAAAACAACGAAAACCAAAAAACAAAGAGAAAATAAAAACATGCCAAGATGGTGTCAGTGACTTGCTGTTTAAGCAGAAAGGATGGAGAAGTCAAGGCTGACAGTTAATGCTCCTCTGAAAACAACCTTTCCTGCAGTTGTCACCCCTTGGCTGAGAGCAGCAAAATAAAAAGCACGGTGATATGCACTTTTGTGAGGACACAGCTGTCCTACTGATGCTTGCACAGGTCCTACATCACGCGCAGAAGTGACGGAGCCGCAAAGCCCCGACTTCAGCAGCAGCTCCATGTGCCAAAGCTTGCAAGATTCAGCGATGCTCCTCCTGCCAGAAAATGTTATTTTGTGGTTTGTGACTTGGCTCCTGGAGATATAGCAACATATCCAGATGCTGCTAAAAATATGGTCCTTCGTTTTCTTCTGGCAGGTTAGAGTAGTAAAGAATATTTACAAGGTGTGTTTTTTCCTTTCCAGTTCAAAATGTGCCACCCTTGAATTAAAAGAGGACAAGGTTTTTTACCCTGATGCTTAGTTTAGGATAATGTTGCATTTCCATGAGGCCTTGTACAGCTTGCTGAAAGCTTTCCTAAAAATAGGAATTATCTGAGGACTCTTTGCATCAGAGGTCTAATGAGTGGTTGAAAACTTGACATAAGACATAAATTATAAATATGACGTTTTTGTCACAGCCCCAGTGATTTTTGGCAAAACCTCCTGCTGCTTAGTAGCTGGATAGTTTGCATCTGTTTTACTCCTGTCCTTTCAAAGTTACTTGACAAAGCTGCCTACTCTCCTCGTAGGGCAAATGGATCTCACTGACAAAACTTAAACTTTTTATATTGGTGGAATATGTAGATTTCCCTCTCTCTACCCAACTGCCAGTCCATGTCTGTTAAGAAGAAATGAATCTATTCCACTAAAGCTTCTCAGGAGATGCAGCTTGGTGATATTTACAGGTAACTGGATGCTAAATCACTGCAGGATGATCAAGATAAAGACATAAAGACACAAATGCATTCTTTCAAGCACTGTTTCTCAAAGCTTTTGAAGGTACAGTGCCTTTCTGATTGATCTCTGAAGGCCTGAACAGCAGTTAGAATTTCAGGAGATTTTTTTTCTTAACACTTCAGAGCCGCCTTTGAATCCCATTGTGATCCATAGTTTGAAAAAACAATACTTTAAAAAACAATCTCTGGTGGGCAGCTTCCACCAAAGATTACTGTGATTAAGAACTAACTTAATGACAATAATTTATTAGTTTTTTAATTTCTCGAACCTTTTCCTCTGGGCAACTTAAAGCACTTAGCTTCACAAAGACTGTAATACATAATTTAAGCTGTTATCCTCTAAACTGAATCAGAACATAGGATTCAGTAAGTCAGAAAAGATTTGATTTTTGTTTTATTGAGATAGGACTGTTGCCCTCAAGAAAGCTTTCCGTGTTGCAAACAGAAGACGATTAGATTCCTGAGGGCCATGGTCAATTTGCAGTTGTATTCATTTGTAAAACAGAAACAAATGTCAAGTCTCGTACACCAAAAAGGGCACGGGGCCTTTATAACAGGGGAAAAAATAAATAAACTTTGCAGCTTGCTAATAACTTAGTTTTTGTGCTTAAACAAGGCAACAAGGATACTTTTGCATGCAGCGTCCCTGCAAGAAATTAGTGAACTTGGACTATACTTATACAAAACACTTTGTATACCTCTTCTATTGTCAAGTTCTTAAAATGATGTATTAGTGACAAAGATGTGAAGTACTAATACTAATAATACTAACGGAACATTATGCTGAACATCCCACTGTACAGTACGAGGCAGGTGACATATAATCCACTGATGAATATATCAACATTAAGCAGATAAAAGAATGCATTTGAGTTCAGGTTGTTCTGAGAATCATTTTCCCAAGATGAGACTTCTGATACCTGTCATTTCTTCATCTTATCAGACAAAAATACTTAGCACGATATTGGATACTCTGCTTTGTTGAAAGGGCTGCCTGGGTTTTGCAGTGAAGTGTGTTAAACTTTCATCTTTGTTTCTGCTGCACAAGTTTATGGCATTCTCTATTTCTTTAGAACTTACAATTTATTTTTTTTTTTTTTCCCTTGAATTTTTGAGCTTTGTATCCCAGCCACCTTATTCTCTAGCAGCTGATGTTCGGGTTATCCAAAGGCAGAAAACTGATAGCATGCTAAATAATTTTCGGAGTGAAATGCTAACGCGACTGCTTGCAACGGCAAAATTCCCACTGCCCTCTGCGTGGGCAGAAATGTGCCTCACGTATTAGTTCTGCTTCCATCTGAGTGCCTTGCTGCTTCTCCATTCTGCCATCTTAGGTAATAATTTAATTTGCTGGAGCACCTCTGCTATGGAGACAGGCTGAGAGAGTTGGGGCTGTTCAGCCTGGAGAAGAGAAGGCTCTGGGGTGATCTTATAGCAGCCTTCCAGTACTTAAAGGGGGCCTACAGGAAAGCTGGAGAGAGACTTTTTACAAGGGTGTGTAGTGATAGGACAAGGGGCAATGGCTTTAAACTGAAAGAGGGCAGATTTAGGTTACATATAAGAAAGAAATTTTTCACTCTGAGAGTGGTGAGGCACTGGAACAGGTTGCCCAGAGAAGTTGTGGATGCCCCGTCCCTGGAAGTGTTCAAGGCCAGGTTGGATGAGGCTTTGAGCAACCTGGTGTAGTGGAGGGTGTCCCTGCCTGTGGCAGGAGGCTTGGAACTAGATGATCTTTAAGGTCCCTTCCAACCCAAACCATTCTATGATTATATGATAATTTGTTCCAGCTTTAAATGACCATAGAGAAGCTTTTTGCAGCAAATTTAAAGGTTGACTGAGGCTTGGAATTTTAAGTCTATGACTTTCCATTACTTCAGCTGTGCTACTATATACAGCATACCACGTGCACAGGGTGACATGCAACCTACCCAGCGTTGGGTCATACTCCCAGATGAACCGTTTGGTCAGGAAGCGTACGACGAGAGCTGGAGGAACAAAAAGATTCTAGGTGAGATGCACAAGCCATCAACTCGTCTGGTTTTTCAAGCTTTCCCAGCAAACTTTCCTGTGTCAATGGGCATGTAGCAGCTCCCCTGAACTGTGAGCAGAATTCAGTGTTGCTTATCGTGGCAGTTGGGATCTTTTCACTGTTTGTGGCCCACTTTACACTTGTGGAGGGAGGAAACAAAATGAAAAAAACTAAAACTCTTTATAGCTTTAATCATTTACCCACGTAACAATGCAGGACAAAGAACAGCAGGAGGCTTTTTGGTCGAGCCTTTTTTCACTTTTTTTTCTTGGCCACAATAGCTTCTATCATTAAAAAGCCAAAACAACCCTGTTTACAGTGCTATGAGCAGATGACCTTTGAAAAAACTACTGTTTTGGATGCTTTAGATTTCCTATAACCAGTGGAAAAAGGGTTGGCAGTTTTTGAACCAGGATGCTTTGAAACTTCAAAACTAGGGGTGTTCAATAGAATTTAATTTTTGAAAACTTTCCCTTCAGATTTTAAACCTTGTAAGGTAAGCATGTAATTGGCTAAATACCTTCCTTCTGTATTTTGGCATGCCTTCCTTACAACAATTTATCTTCTCTGTTCTGCCTACTTGTCACTGGAAGCAATCAGCTATAATATTTTAAACACCGATCAATGAATGTTACTAATAAATTTGCAGAAGTAGAAATGAAGCTTTAGATTTTGGAGCACTGGATAACTAGTTCTCAGTTTCAGTTTACCAGCTAAGATCTTGCTACTTATGTTCTTATACTTATTTTTTTTCTATCCCTTCACTCCCTTTAAAAAATAACCTATAAATGCTTTGTCAGGACATTGTCAGGACATTGATTATGTTCTAATTTAAAATTTCTAATCCTTTGTCAGAACATTGATTATGTTCTAATTTAAAACTAAGCAGTGCCTTGAATTTCTAGTGGTGTAAACGAAGCATTCACCACTGCCAACTATTCAAAATCCTTCCAAAATGGAGCTAGAGATACTGCTGGGCTCGCTATGATTGCAGTGATTTCAACTATAGGAAAAGTTTTCCTTGTCATCAGCCCTACAGGACTGTTCCGCTCTTCTTGCAGTTGCAGATGGACAGTAAAAAGTGACAGCTGAACCCAGTCCTGATCCTTTTCAAAATTAGAGCCATGAGAATGCCCCACATCCCAGATTTCTGTGCCCAAGAGCAGGACAAGGCAACAAACTGCAGAATAAATGCAATTAATTAAGCTTCACTTAATCAGGACCTATTTTTTAAATAGAATCAGACCATTAGTTTTCAGGGAGATTTAACTATTCCTCACACTTGGAGAGGTAGTAAGAAGCTAATCCTAAGGAAATGAGATCACTACACAAGCAGCAATTTTAAATCGGTGTTATTTTAAGTTTCTATTTTCCTTAGGAAATCCTTTTTTTTTTTAAGCCTTTGAAGAAACATTCTCCTTGGCCCTCAGACTGAATGTGGCAATTCTTAGGCAAAGTAACTTTTCAAGTCATAGTCCTAACATGGATGTCATTATACTACAAGAAGATCTCTGTGTAGCTTATTTTCCATCCATGACGATGTCTGCACCACGACTTTTTTCCCCCCACGTTTTACCTCAGCTGGAATAGTTTAAACATCTTGATGTTTCAAAAGTTTGGTCATGACTCTTCTCCAATTGCTAGTAATAGGTTCTCTAATTCTAGTAAAATAAGCAGCATGTTCTTTTTTTTTTTTTTTTCTTTTTCCATTTTGACTGGGGAAGCGATGCAGGGTAAAAGTTCTCCTGGCACACTTTCAGAAGACTCCTAACCATCTCGTTTTTCAAGAGCAGATTTTAAAAAAGCTTTCCTTTCACAGCCATATTCTGACGGAGAAGCAGTGATGCGCTACCTGTGTTGCAGTGCCTTACCCTGATCCTGTGCCTGGACCTGGAGCAGGTAATGGAGAGAAAGAGATGGCAGAAAAGAACCTGTCCAGCTATTTTCATATTCAAACATGGTCCACTTAGTCATGATAACCTTGGACGTGTAGATGGAAATTGCTGGAGAGGAGGGTCAAAGTGATGAAGGGAACTGGAAGAAAGTCCGTCAAGCACTGATGTCTGAGATAGGTGATAGAGAGCAGAGCTTTGAAGGAAAAGTGGGAGAAGAGCTGATTTTGGAGGTAGCCCAAATGAAGGAGGTGAGGGAGTGATGAGTGGTAAGAAGGAAAGGCAGAACTGGACCACAAGGTGAGCCTGGCAAAAAGTTGGTACAGCTGTGCGCTCCGGGGGAAACGGTACAGGTGCTGAGTGCTACCGAGGTGAAGAATTGGAGATGAGGGATGGGAGGTCTGCTGAGGAGGGGAAAGGGAGGCTGTGTTTGTCTCCAGCAGGGAGGCCTGTATGCAGAAATAACAATCACACAGGCAGGAGGGAGCTGAAGAAAAGGAAGGAAGGGTGGGAG